CTTGATCAACATAAATACATTATGGACTTGATACAAATATTGAAAATGGATGAGGCTAATCATGTGGCTACGTCGTTAGCTTCCTCCGCCTCTTCAACTCTGTTTGACAGTTCAGGCTCCTATGATGTCACTCTCAATCACCAAGTACTTAGGTCACTTCAATTTTTGAATCTCACCCTCCCAAACGTTGCTTTTGCTATTAACATATTAGCTCCATATATGCATAAACCTGGCTAATCACTGTCAGCTTCTGAAACGTCTCTTGCGCTATCTACTGCGCACTGCCTCTCATGGCCTCTTTCTCCGTCATAATACCTCCACCTCTATGTGTGCTTTTGCTGATGCTGACTGGGCAGAAAATCCCGAACGACTATTGATCCTCCACCAGCGCTTATGCCATCTTTCTAGAGGACTCATTTATATCTCGGAAATCAGTCAAGCAGCGAACTATTGCTAAGTCATCCACGGAGGCAAAATATCGAGCTCTTTCCACCGCTGCCTCTGAAATTATTTGGATCGAATCTCTCTTGTGTGAGTTGCGGCATCTGCTCCTTTCTCCTCCACTCCTCCTTTGTGATACCAATGGTGCTACTACATCTTCAGCAAATCTAGTCTTCCATTCCCGAATGAAACATATGGCTATTGACTTTCATAATTTCCCATCTTCTGATCAAATCGTTAATGCCCTCACTAAACCACTTCCACGGCAACGCTTAAACTCTTAGAGACAAGCCTAGGATTCTCGGAAGGGACCGAATACCTAGCTTGCGAGGGCGTATTGAAGGAAATAAATAAATAAATTACACTTGATACATAATATTGTAATTAGCTGTCACAAACTGTTACATATCTTTATCATTTAAGGTAGTATTATTACTTACCTTATACACATGCTTAGTAATTGTATAAATAGCAGCTCTTGTAAATCGGTAAGAGGTGCAGAAATATATTTTAAAGCTTTTCCTCTCTTATTCCTTATCTGTCACACTATGGGCAGAAAATTTGGAAAAAAAAAGAACCCACCTTGAAACCGTTTGTATACAGTTCTACTTATAGGTAACTAGTTTACTTTAACAAAATATGATTATTACCTTTGTCCAAAAAAAGAGTCTGATTTCACCAACGTACATCTTTTCTGATTTTAGTAAGGTACAAAAACTATTTGAAATCATAATGGTAATTTACTTTTTAAAACTCATGTTTTGGCTTATTGAAATTAAGCACCTTAAGAAATCTTAAGGCGGCATAGGGTAGCTTGATCAAAGAAATGTGGTTTGTTTGGGGCGGAGGAGAAATCCCTGATGCATCTGTTCATCCTTTGCCCGGTAGCTAGAGACGCCTGGAGATCGGTGCTATGGACTTCACTGGGACAGTCAGCTGGTACTTTTCTGGACTGGGTGCAACTGGCCTTTCATGTAAAGAAGGAAGAGGAATTACAGGTGCTAATCTAGGGATGCTGGGATTTGTGAACTGAACCAAACCTGAGAGTATGGCAAGGAACAAGTCTAGGAGCTTCTCAATTCACAAGAGAATGTCAGCACGTCGATGGCCTCTATTGTAAGTAGTCCTCTGTGGAGACGGCTGACAACAGGTTGGAGGAAGCTCAATGTGGATGCTTCTAATGGGGGAACGAACTGTGGTCTTGGCTGGGTATTATTAGATGAGGCAGGAGGTTTTGGGAGAGGGAGCCAAACCTTAGAGCGGCAAGTGTAGTCCCTTAGAAGCGGGACTGTTAAGCATTCGAGAAGCATTGACTTGGATGAAAAATCAAAAAATCATCAGTGGGATTTTGTGGAACTGGAATCGTGAGATTCGGAGGTGCTCAAGTATATCCACCAAGGGGCTTTTAGCAGAACATATTAGGGATATCAGTTCAGGTTTTGCAAATATTTCTTTTTCATTTGTTAAGCACTCCACAAACAAAGCTGCTCACGAATTAGCGAGAGTGACATGTTCTATGTGTGATAGTCCTTAGTCAGGATTGTTGATCAATCCCCCGAGTTGTATTGTTTTATGTTGACGCTTTGACATTTGATTCCATTAATGCCAATTAAGTACTGTCCATCATTTCATTTTCATTTCATTTTCATTTACCCCAGTGCCGCAAAGGCTCCCACCTACAGCGGGATAAGGGGGGTCGGATGTACGCAGTCTTACCCCTGTACTAAGACACGGAGAGACTGTTTCCGGATGACCCATAGTGAAAATCGTGTCCAAAATTGCATGGACTGATTGCTACTTCATAACAAAGAAGCGCAAACAGTTTAGTTTAGTGAGCCATTAAAAAAAAAGGAATTGTTAACTTATTATATCTTTGACTAGCATAAAATTCACAAATCTATCATATTTTGATAAAAAAGACTCAAACTTAATCTTTTTTAGCAATTATACTTTTCCGTTGTGAGTTTTCAGAATTACAAATCCATCATTTGCAATGGAGCCAAAAACTCACTATTTTTCAGCTTAAGAATATGATGGAATAAAGCAAAGTGGCTCACTAAACTGTCTGCGCTTCTTTGTTATGAAGCAACAGCCAGTCTACGCAATGTTCGATGCGATTTTCACTATGGGTCATCCGGAAACAGTCTCTTTGTACTTTAATACAGAGGTAAGGCTGTGTACATCCGACCCCCCTTACCCCACCGTAAGTGGGAGCATTTGTGGCACTGGGGTAATGATGATGATCAATACTTTTTATATACAACAACAATATCCAAGCCTTAGTCCCAAAAGATTTTGGGGTCCGCTAACATGAATCGATACATGATATCGGGATCAAAAGGAAAAGAAAGATAAGAAAGATAAAAAGGATAAGCTATGATAAAAAAGATAATATAAAAAGAGATATGATATACACAAAAAAGATAGAATAAAAAGGATAAAAAGAATATATAAAACGATAAAAAAACACAAGGAAGAAAATGAAGATGAGAATGAAATGATGATAAGAAATCACTTCATCACACGAATACCCGCTATTCACTCCAAAGTCATACTCTCATCCAACCCAAAAAGAAGCATATCACTCATGACTTCTTTAATTCACGTCTGTTTGCATGTTCCCCTCCCTCTCTTCCCTGCTTCTTCTCCACACCTCCCAACTCGTCTGCATCACTCAGTCTTCTATGCACATGACCAAACCACCGCAAGCGGTACTCCCACATCTTATCTTCAATAGGTGCTACTCCCACCTTATGTCTAATTGTCTCATTCCTCAAACGGTCCATTCTAGTATGTCCACACATCCAACGCGGCATGCACATCTCTACCACACTCATTTTTTGAAAGTGACATTGTTTCACCGCCCAACACTCTACGCCATACCGTAATGTAAGCTTAATTGATGTCCTATAAAATTTACCCTTCAGTTTAGTCGGCATACCTCGATCAATACTTTTATATACTTGTATTAAATTATATATTTTTTATTAATCATTTAATTCTATTTCTTTTACATGAATTAGCATGAACTTGAAACAAATCTTAAAAAACTAATCTTAATAAAATATTTTGTAACTAAAAACTTTCTAATAAAATGTCAAAAATTAACATATATTGATACTCAAATTAATCCATGAATTAACTAGCTGATATATTGATGTTTTTTATAGAAGTTGATATACTCATTCAAACACTAATATTTAAACTAATAAAATTTATTAGTTATCAAAAAAAATTTGAACTCTTTCTATGTAGTTGTAGGTGACACTTTCATCTTTCTAGTTATCTTTCATATGTTATGCACCATAATTTGATTAATATAAGTAATATTAATAGATATACGTAGGGGTGGACATATCAGTTTTCGGTTCGGTTTTTATCAATTTTGGTTCGGTTTGGAACAGGTTGGAAGAATTGTTACCAAACAAAAACCATAGTATTTTTCGGATTGGTTCCGTTCGGTTTTGTTCGGTTTGGATTTGTTATTTTTTTTAAGAACATATGAAGGTTTTGTGAATTTCTTTAGTTTGGTTTGATTTTGTTCGGTTTTTATTGATTTCGGTTCAGTTCAGTTTAATATGGTTTGGAAGAAATTGTACCAAACTCAAACCAAATTGCATACGGTCTGATTTCAATTCGTTTTAGTTCGGTTTGGTACAGTTCAGTTCGGTTAAACCAAACCAATATGCCCACCCCTAGAAATAAGATTAGATACAAAAAGCATAAGCTATACAAACTTCTCAACTTAAAGGATAGTTTCTTGTTAAATACTGCCTCTGTCTTGAAAAGGTTCACCATATTGACGTTCTTGATCAATGATGACAAACTTTGAACAATTATTTTAATTATTATATATGTATATAATTTATAAATTTTATACTTTTTTTAACCATAAATTTTATACTTTTATGACAATATTTTGAATAAAGAACATTTTGATATACTTTTCATATTCAAAATAATTTCGTATTAAAAAGTATCATTGGTTCAAGTTAATTTCCATTGACCAAGAAAAGTAAATTTGGCGAACCTTTTCAGGGACGAAGGGAGTATTACATAGTACTAATTAATCTATTGAAAGTGTAAGTATGAGAAAAGTTGAAGTTTAAATCTTTTTTAATAAAAGTTAGATATTCGGATAAATTTGTGAATTTGATGATGGTTGAGGGTATATTAAGCTAATAATCCTAAATATAATGACAATTAGATTCTTTTGTTTAGAAAAGATTCTTGGAGACAAAAATAACTTTGCAAAATAGGAATCATCTTTTATGGGACAGACCGACAGAGGGAGTATTTGCTACTTTAACTACATTTCTAGCATCAACTTGTTTCGTTGTTTGTGATTATTTTTTTGCATTTCTGGCTTTCTGCACGAAAAATTATCAAGTGCTGAGGGCTACAAAATTTACAAATATGTTCTGTTATAAACCAAACTTCACGACTTCTTCAGTTTGCCATTATATACCCATGTATACCTTTATCGGCCTTTTGGCCTAGAACAAGTGAGGCAGTATAAAATACTATTCATATGTGTGTGTAATGCATGGTTCAATTACCTGAACGGCATGCAACACTTTGGAACGGTGGTCGTATGCCATGGAGGATCCACCACTTGAAACGTTAAGAACCCCATTTTGCCAGTGACCGGTCTGAGTTTGCTCATTCCTGAAAGTGTAAGTGCCAAAACCTTGCCTCCTTCCCTCATGCCAGGCTCCCTCGTATCGATGTCCATTTCCAAATCTGTAGACCCCAAAACCATGCATTTTGTCTGCAAAATATTCGCCAGCATAGTTATCTGCATTCCTGAACAACAGCAGCAACCGTGTAGATTTGTAAAAGCTGAAAGAGCACAATTCTTTATCTCAATGGAAAAGGCAAGTATATACTCCCTCCATCTAACTTCATTTGTCCTACTTGGTTTTTTGAGTCCATTGTAAAATGTTGTCCACATTTCTAAACTAAATACTACTGATTCTTGTTTTCCCCTAATTTCCTTCCAGATGTCATGATGCTTTTTCTTGATAAAAATGGGCTCGAGTCCTTCATAAACCTCTTTCCTCCTCTAACCCATATATCCCTCAGTCTACTGTAGAAAGCCTCAACCCATCATCTATAAGAGGAAATCAGAGTATATGTTTGAGGTGTGCAATGACAGGAGAAGTTAAATGTCAAGAACTGAAGGGAAGAGGTTAAGGAGATCATGTCAATTTGCTCTATATAATACCAAGAACGAAGAAGTGAAATTATTGGAGATTTAAAAAGATGCTCTGGTTCCACACTTAACCTCTGACACCATTAAGTAGTTCTGATACTGCTAATTATATTGCTAGAATTCCAAAATCCAATTTTTAATTTTTTGTCTTGGGAAGGTGACAATGTTTAGTTGTGTCTAAAGATTTCGGATGGAAGGAAAAAAAACACTCCCTCATTCCCAACCCAAGCTTCTTGATTTACTTTCTCGTTAGTCCCAAAAATAATTTTCTTATTTCATCAACTCATTTCAAGGAAAGACTTGTTGGTTGATATACTATTCTCTTTTCTTTTAGTTATACAAGCCATACAAATTCACTTTTCTAAATAAGTACCCAAGTCAAAACATGAATATTAATTTGGGATGGAAGGAATACATGTTTGTTTTTATATTGATATTCACCACAAACAGGAAAACTAGTGGAAACTGGATAGGTTCTCTGTCACCTCTTTCAGATCATGGGGTCAAATTGGAAAACCTTCACCCATATCTTGTTTCCTAATGTGTGTAAAATGTAAAGTGAACAAAAATAATGTGATAGAGGTACATATCTCTAAACTTGCTAGTGATACACGCGAACTGATCATCATCATCATTACCTCAGTGCCGCAAAGGCTCCCACCTACGGTGGGGTAAGGGGAGTCGGATGTACGCAGCCTTACTCGGTACTAAAGCACAGAGAGACTGTTTCCGGATGACTCATAGTGAAAATCATGGACTGACTACTGATTTATAACAAAGAAGTGCAAACAGTTTATTGAGCCATTTTTCTTTTTTCCATCATATTCCCAAGCCAAAAAATAGTGAGTCTTTGGCTCCATTGCAAATGATTGAAATAACACGTGAACTAATATCAACCCCTAAATAAAAATGGAAAACATTGAATAGCATATCTTCCCAAAAGTAACATTTTAATGTGAGCGGCTAAATAATGTACGTTGTTCCCTGAGTGACAGTGTAACGCTACAAACATTTCAGTCTGAGAGGGGTTGCTTTTTTACTTTTTCATCAAGAGAATTATACTTCTTATCTCATTATCCGGATTGCTTATTTATTTACCATTTCTATCCTTTTATTTTGAGAATTTATCAAGCTAAAAAACAATGCAGTAATTATTTCCTCTTCTTTTTGGAAAGAAAAATAACCCCTCCCCTCTTCGACTTCAAAATCATCCAAAAGCTAACTCCCAAACACACCCCCAACGTATTCAGTCAAATTTGAGGAAAATAATTTGAAGCGTATTAAAACATTTTCTTAAAATAATTATGGTGGATCTGGTGAGGCAATAATACACTTGACACTAGGCAGTATAGTGTTGCATATATTGTGGCTTGACACCAGTACTAAATTTGCAAGAGTAAATGTCTAGTATAAGAGATTATATAATGAAAACCTATGAAGCACAAACACGCGCCATAAGCAGACATACCAACAAGAGCACAATCAAGTTGATAGTGGAATAAAACCAATAAGCTTAAATTGTAAAAGAACACCCCAAGAATAAATTACCTGAACTGGTAAGTGCCAAGGCCATGTTTGACGCCCCACTTGAATTCCCCGATATAACTGCTCCCGTCCTCACAAGTATGTATGCCCTGCCCGTGGCACTGCCCGTTACACCACTCCCCAGCATACGCATCCCCAGTGTAGGACCTATACAACCCAACTCCATGCCTCAGTCCCTGCAAATATTGTCCCCTATATCGGCTCCCCTTCGCCCACGTCTCCACTCCATATCCGTCATACTTCCCGTCGACCCAATCCCCTTCGTACCTCCCAGTCAAATGGTAGTAATGCACCCCACTTCCGGAACACTTTCCTTTATGGAATTCTCCCTCATACAAATCCCCGTTGCTATAAATTTGCACCCAACAGCCCGAATCCAGCTTACATTCCAATTTGGGCTTTGCCCCGATTGACCAAACAACAGGAAGATGAGTCTTTGATGGGGCAGGCTTTATTTTTGATATAAAAAAATGGCGGATAGCTGGGAGAGCTAAGCTAAGGGCAATCACAAGAAGGAAAAGGAATACAGCACAGACCAGAAAAAATAAGAAATAACGGTAATAAGCTGTGGTTAAGAGATAAAAAGTGGGCAAAAAAAGGAGAATGAAAAGCTTGGTGTGGAGCCTAAGCCATGAGGCTCGGCAAGAATGGTGGAGGAGCCTCAGAGTGATCCTCTTAGTAGCTAGAAGCAGCGGTAGTGAGCAAGAACAGGGGAAGGGCGGGTGTGAGGATGCTTTAAAAGGACTGTCGTGGAGAGATGAGAGGGTTTGGGAGTGAGATGGGGTGGAGCTTCGGGGCATTAGAGGCCTTTTGTGGGGAGTGGAGGGGAAGAGGGGCGGCTCATTCTTCTTCTGGTAGTGAATTTCGAGATCGGGTGTAGGGCGAGTTAAATGAGTCGGGTCGGATGATGATGGTGGTGGTGGGTGGAGAGGATTGGTGTTTGGTGAGACTTTCTTCTGATGCATCTACAGTTAAGAACTGGACCCGTCTCCTCTCTCTGAACTGCAATAATGGAATCTGGAAATCACGAGTTCGAACCAAAGCCGCCTGCTTTCTCTTTTAACCAACAAACTGAAGAAGAAGAAGAAGAAGAAGAAGAGTTATTCACCTTTAGCCATTTCTCCGGTCTCCGCACTGGACAGAAAACCATGGCAACTGAGCGTTCAAAATGAGAGTTCGCATATATTTTCGTCCAGGCCCTTCAATACTTCTCCCTCGAATTAAAATGATCCCCTCTCCTTCCCATTCCCATTTCATCAGTCTTTTCTCTAGGAGAAAATTGCTCCCGGTAATACCAATTTATGTTTTTCCCTTTTGGTCTAGTTTATTCTTGTCTGAGTTGGTTTGCTCTGATGTGGTTTCCGTATAATTTTTAACTATCAAAATCTGGTCTTGTCTGCGACTGAAAGCAGTTCAAATAAAAACATTCTTATAGCCTTTTGGCCTGGATATTACTAAAAAGGACAAAAGACAAAAATGTGACTTTTTTAAAAAATTCCAAAAATGTTACCAACATCACAATTAAACCCTACAACAGTGCAAAGTGACTTCACCGCTACAGTGACCCGCCGCTACAGTGTCCTGCTGCCACAGTGACTTTGTCGTCATCCCGTCCAATGACTGCCGCCATCCCGTCCGGTGTCTGCTGCCTCCCTGATCAGTGACTGCCGCCTCCCCTCATCAGTGATCGCCGCCAGCCACAGTGACTGGCACCAGCCACAGTGATCGACTCCGACCATAGTGACTGACCGTCCATCAGCCACAGTGGTCGCTGGGAAGTTTTCTACCACCCTACCACCACCAACAACAATTTGCCCATCCTCCTACCTAGCCAAAGCTGCCACCCGCTGCCCTTGCCCATCCCCAGCTACCGCTGCTCCACCGTCCATTGTCACCGCCCATTCTCCATCGTGCACAACCGCCACCGCGTCCCCAACCCCCTCCCCTGCCCTAGCTCTACACACCATATCCTAATCCAGCCCCTAGCCCTTCCCAGCCCCGCCTTCGACAACCAAGCTCAACCCTGACCACTGCAACTGAACTCTCGCCACCACCATCCCTCAGATCTGGCCGTTGCTGGTCATCATCTCAGATCTGACCATCCATCCATCTTAGGCGAGGCAAGGCAAAGGCGGCATGTGAAGCGAGGCGAGGCGGAGGCGGCCTGTACGACGAGACTGAGGCGAGGCGAGGCGATGCGATGCGAGGCTGAGGCTGAGGCGGAGGGGGCCTGTGCGGAGAGCCTGGGGCAGAGGCGGCTTGGGCAGTATGAGGCCCGGCGAGGTGAAGGTGAGGCCGACCGTTTGGCAAGAAATTGTGTGAATCGATGCGCAGGGAAGGGGAGAAAACGATGGATTGCGCAAAGTTCAGGGGAATTTGTCAATCTTTTTGAAAAGATAAAATGGGTCATATTTTTTGAAATCCAAAGCCCATTAGTAATTTACATGCCATTTTTTCCATTCTTATCTACTTCTAGTTTAGGAAACTTAATTATAACTTTACAAATTTACCCTTTCAGCTATTTGTGGACATTAAAATTTTTGCCACTAATGGCTTGAAGATTCATGCTGCTTTCTTTCTTCCGTATCACCCTACGAATGCATGTTTTCATTCTTCCGCATTACGTTCGTCACTTTAGATGAATTCGACTTCTAACTACCGGCATAAGCGCTACAAATAGCCGGAGTCATTGAATTCCTCTTCACGCGTTCATCTTCGAAATTATTATGGTAAACTTAATGATCCAACAAGCCTTTCAAAGTTTCAAGTTTTTACAATTTCATTTCAATACTAAGTATAAAAGAAAATTGTTTATACTAATTTTGTGCTTAGTTTATTTGTTATCGTCTTCCTCAAATTTCAATATGAAGATCTTTTCTCTATTTTTTATTACAACGTAAAAGTGTAGCTGTTCTCTTCGTTTTATTCTTATTACTTATTGCTTATTCTTATTTTATCCAGATCAGATCAGAAAAATTAGATCATATCAGATCAGATCAGAAAGATTCAGATCAGGTCAGGAGCATTCAAATCAGATCAGGTCAGGAGCATTCAAATAAGACCAGATCAGAAACATTCAGATGAGATCAGAAACATTCAGATCAAATCAGAAAAATTCAAAAATGATTTATCACTTTATTATTATTATTATAATAATAATAATAATAATAATAATAATAATAATAATAATAATAATAATAATAATAATAATAATAATAATAATAATAATAATAATAATAATAATAATAATAATAATAATAATAATAATAATAATAATAATAATAATAATAATAATAATAATAATAATAATAATAATAATAATAATAATAATAATAATAATAATAATAATAATAATAATAATAATAATAATAATAATAATAATAATAATAATAATAATAATAATAATAATAATAATAATAATAATAATAATAATAATAATAATAATAATAATAATAATAATAATAATAATAATAATAATAATAATAATAATAATAATAATAATAATAATAATAATAATAATAATAATAATAATAATAATAATAATAATAATAATAATAATAATAATAATTATATTGTAATTAATACTAATAATAATAAGGGAAAGGGGGCAAATAAGCCCACCAACTAACTAAAAAGGTTCAAATAAGCCCTTATGTAGGAGGTTTTGTCCGGCCGTCGCCATTTGAGGCGGTTCCCGGTGGAATGTTTTGATGAAATTTTTTGAGATCTTATTCATTGAGTCTAGTTTACTCATACCAAATTTTATCTAACAATTCAATCGGGAAGGCATTCAAATGAATTCTTGAAGATAACTGTGTTTTTAACTGCAAAGTTATTTTCAAGAATTCATTTGAATGCCTTCCCGATGGAAGTTTTAGCTGAAATTTGGTATGCGTAAACTAGACTGAATGAATAAGATGCTCAAAAAAATTCATCAAAAAATTCCACCGGAAACCACCCCAAATGACGACGGCCAGACAGAGCCTCCTAAATAAGGGCTTATTTGACCTTTTTGGTTAGTACGTAGGCTTATTTGCCCCTTTTCCCTAATAATAATAATATTTTGTCCAAATAATAATAATAAAATATTTATATTAATATTATTATTACAATAATAATATAATAATAATATAAATAATATTATTATTATAATATAATAATAATAATTTTACTATTATTATTATATATTTTTTAAAGAACTATTATTATTATTATATTATTGTATTATCTTATTATTTTTTTATATTAGTTTTATTATATTATTATTATAACTATAATAATAATTATAGTTATAATTATAATAATTATAATTATAATAATAATTATAACTATAATTACAATTATTATTGTTAATATAATTATTATTAATATTATTATTATTGTTTTGTAATTATTATTAACATATTAATTTTAATTATAAGTATTATTATAGAAATAAATATTATAATTATAATTAAAATTCTAATTATATAAGTAATTATAATTAAATATTATTACAATTGTAATTGTATCTATAGTTATAATTAGTGTAATAGGTATAATTAATATAATTGTAATTTTAATTATTATTATTATTATTATTATTATTATTATTATATTTTTATAATTATGATTATAAATATAATTTTAATTAAATTATATTTATAATTACAATAGTGGTTATTGTAATTATAATTATAATTATAATTATAATTATAATTATAGAAATATTCAAATCAGATCAGATCAGAAAGATTCAGATCAGATCATACCAGATCAGAAAAGTTCAGATCAGATCAGAAAGATTCAGATCAGAAAGATTCAGATCAGAACTTGAAAAATTCATATCAGAAACTTTCAGATCAGGTGAATGAGAACAGCTTCTTACTTTGTTTGAATTCCGTACCTCACTTTTTTACTTTCCTCGTTTTCTTTGTTCAATTACTCTCTGCATAGGCGATGTTAGTAAATAATTATAGGTTCTACATTTATAAGTTCATGCTTACTTGGTGCATACACTATATTATTAATGTAATTATTCTGTTTTTACTTGTTGCCACACGTGTTGATTTTTGAGTAGTTAATTACTTGGAGTACAATTCATTGCCCTTTTGCTTCTTAACCGGACTTATTTTGTTTGTTATTTTCAGTTGTTAATGAAAAATGTATTAGTATTAATTTATTAGTCATTTTTTCTCATGTTGTTAATAACATATTGTGCTTCATTTTTATGTATTTATGGTGCTTATGCTTAAGGTGAACAATTGCTTATGCTTAAGGTGAATAGTTGTTGGAACAAGTCATACATTTTCTCTAACAAATGACATTTTGACTTAATTGTACTGGGGAGGACATTATACGTTGAATTTTACTTTCATGGTTTATTCATGCATTAGTGAATCTGTTACCAATACAAGGCTTAGGATTTCTTATCTTGTAGATGCATGTCCACCTCATGTGCTTGTTAACGACGATTCTAGATTTCTAGCTTGGGATTTTACGTACTTGACTTTTAAAAAAATGACACTGAATATGCTACATTTTTTCCCTCTATTAATCAACCAATGTCACACGAACATTCTGCAATTGGTCTCAACGTTTCTTCCAACTCACCTCCGAATGAGCTACAACAACATATGTGTGCCACGTTTCTTTCAATTCATCTCAATGTCGTTGCCTCTCCTTCCCTTGATGACCACCCAAATGATTTTATCACTTGTGTTGATTTTACTCATTCAAGCCCTATTTGTAATCACGCAATAACTTCGGAAGACACGCATTCATCTTCCAATGAAGTAATACGATTAACCTTTTCAAATATCTCTCTCAAGTATTACAATCACCCCACTTAATAATGTAATTTTCATTGCGTCCATAAACCAATCTCAATCAAACCCCAGAATTCTCCCCTACTAAGTGCCCGCTCGATAACCAAACGGATCAACAAACCTGGTTGCTCTGATACCACCCGTAACACCCCGACCTCACAGGGCTCAAGGTAGTTACTTCTAGATACTCTCCAGACCTCTAGTACCGTCGTGACAGAAAAACGCAAGCCTTTTCCGCACACTTTGTTCTCACTCATGTGTGTGCCCTGAGAAACTTTCTAGGGGATCACCCATCCTAGGACTACTCTCGTGCAAACACGCTTAACTTGGAATTTTTAGCTGATGAGCTCCCTTAAAAAGAGATGCAACTTGTTGGTATGAGTAGTGTTATTAATCATTTTCAAATATATCTCAAGTATTACATGGGGCTCGACCTCGACCTGTTTGGTGAAGTATTATCCCGATGATAACATACTTCCTTT